AAAGGCAAATAAGCGTCTTCGGCAATTGGACGACGCAAATCTCTGCCACAAGACGACGCAAGAGCTCGAGCGCGAGCTCTGCCGGCGCGGCCACCGTGCCGCGCCAGCGCCAGCGCCATGCCCTGCACGGCCGCGTGGGAGAGAGAGAAGAGAGAAAGGCAGCCGCGTGGGAGAGAGAGGAAGAGAGGACCGAAGATATTTTGCCTTCGCTGTTGGAAGCGGAAGAATTTGGGTAGCTCACTCATTTCCTGTGCGTGACCCAAACAATGAAATTTGGGTAGGCTCGGTTGGAGATAGCCTTAAAAACATGTTCTATAAGTGTTTAAAACGCATTGGATGATGTGTCTGAAGTGATGCAGCGCATGGGAGATATCCAAGATTCTTGTAAATAATAAGGGCCCGTTTGGCACGGCTTTGGCTCGTAAAAAAATAGCTCTGGCTCTGGCCCATATGGAAAAACAGTTTTTTCTGGCTCTGGCTTATTTGTACGAAAACATTTGACAAAACGGCTTCTCCTAGTTGTAAAGAAGATGTCAAATGTCCAAAATACCCTTATATTTTTTTTCTCTATTTTCTTTTTTCTCTTCATTTTTCTTTTCTTTTTCTTTCTTTTTTTCTTTTTCTTTCCTTCTCCCCTTCTTTTCTTCTCCTTATCCGAACGGCCACACTCCTCTCCTCCTTATCCTGTCACCCACTCCCTCCCTCCCCTCTCTCTCTCTCGGGCGTAGCTCCTCAGCTTCGCAGCCGCGCGCGACCGCTTCCTCCGGGGCCGGTTCCTCTCCGCGGGACTCCGCCCCTTCTCCGTCCACCTCCCTTCGCCGGCCGGCACCAGCACCGTGGTCCACCTCTGGGCGCCCCCGCGCCCCGCGTGGCGGCCCGTGCTCCTCCTCCATGGCTTCGGCGCCTCGGCGACGTGGCAGTGGGCCCCGTACCTCCGTAGCCTCCTTGCGGCTGGCCTCGACCCCATCGTCCCGGACCTCCTCTTCTTCGGCGCCTCCTCGTCCACAGTCCCCGCCGGTCCGACACCTTCTAGGCCAGGAGGGGCCGGCAGTGGGGCGGAGCTGGAGCTAAGCTCGAGACCGGCGGAGCGGTGCAGGGAGATCGAAGCCGCGCGGAGCGGAGCTCGAGGCCGGCGCGGCGGCCGCCATCGGCGCGCGGCGTCGGGGAGGAGAGCAAGCCGGGGACAGGGATGGAAAGTGGCGAGCTCGAGCCGGAATAAGCCAGTATTTTTAGCTTCTCGAGTGGGGAGGAACTGAGTCACCAGGTTTTGCGGCGCTTTTGCCGGCTTCTTGCCGCAAGCCGTTTTGCCTGTGGCCGTTTGGCAGGGCTTCGCCCGAAGCCGCTCGAGAAGCCGCGGCAAAAGTCCTGCCAAAGGGGGCTAAGTAATCTTCCGACCTATATATTCAAGTAAAGGAATCCTAACACCTAGCTTGCTCGGTTGGCTGGTTCGTATCGTTGCTGGTTCGTGAAGAAGTACTGCTGGCTGGTTTGTGTGAGAGAAAAATACTGTTCCGGCTGGAAATTTACGATCGTTTACGACAAGCCACAGCCAAACGAACAGACGCGCAGGAGCAGGTGTGCTACGTGCTACAGTGATAGAAAAAAGAGAGTCCTGCCCTTAGCCTACAGGCCGACCGTTGAAATCTATCCAATATTATAAAATCTGAATGAGCTATGATCGAGTCGAAACGTAAAATCTATTTAGGCCTTGTTTAGATTGGGGTTAGAAATCAGTATTTGACATTGTAGCACTTTCGTTTGTATTTAACAATTATTGTCCAATCATGGCCTAACTAGGCTCAAGAGATTTGTCTCATAATTTACAATCAAACTGTGTAATTAGTTATTTTTTTATCTATATTTAATACTCCATGCATGTGTCCAGATATTTGATGTGATGGAGAGGGAGTGAAAAAACTTGCAATCTAAGCAAGGCCTTAGTTTGGCTTATAAACTTCTTGTGCATCCTCTACCCCTACGGTAGTCAGTGCTGTGCAAAATTCATAAGTATTGGATGAGTGAAACATCTTGGTGAAGTGGATCTTGTTAACAAGTATAGCCGTTTTCAGCATGTATTAGTTGGGGAAGATGTTATTGCTGGCGGTTCATGTGAAGTTAAGTGAAACTTAAATTTTTATAGCTGCTAGAAGACTTAGTGAAGCACATTTCTATCAAATTTTATTGTATATGGAAGATATAAATTTTTTTATTCGAGTGTGTGGAACGTGTCAACAAGTGACAAGCATTAGATGTATGGAGAGTCATTTTGATTGAAAGGCTAAATACATGTTCCATAAGTGTTTGAAACACATCGGATGATGTGTGAGATGTGACGTAGTGCATGGACGTATCCAAGATCATTGTAAATAAAGGGGTGTCTGGTTCTTTAGTCGCTCCTAAAATTTATATCACATCGAATATTTAGGTGATAATAAGAAGCATTAAATATAGATTAATTATAAAACTAATTACATAGATGGAGGCTAATTTTTTAGACGAATTTTTTAAGCCTAATTAATTTGTCATTAGCACATGTTTACTGTAGCACCACATTGTCAAATCATTGACTAATTAGGCTTAAAAGATTCGTCTCGTAAATTAGTCGTAAATTTTACAATTAATTTCGTAATTAGTCTATATTTAATACTTCTATATATGTCTAAATATTTAATATGACAGAAATTTTAGGAGGAGATGTAGAAACCAAACAGGCCCTAAGTAATCTGTCAACCTATATTCATCCTTACGCCTAGCGCGTAGGGGCGTGCATGCTACAGTGAAAAAAGAATCCTGATGTCTAGCGCGTAGGGGATCCTGCCGCCAAGCGCGTGGGGGCGAGAGTGCTACAGTTACAGAAAAAGGGCATCCTGCCGCCTGGCGCGTAGGTGCAAGTGTTTTGTCCTGTATGAACAGTAAAATCCATTTCGACTGGCTTTAAATTTGGTGTGCACGCTCTTCACTTATGGTATTCAATGCTGTACAAAAATCATAAATATTGGATGAGTGCAACATCTTGGGGTGGATCTTGTCAACACAAGTGCAGCAGTTTTCAGCATGTATCAGTTGAGAAAGATGTAATTGTTGGCAGTTCTTGTAAAGTCAAATGAAACTCAATTTTATAACTGCTAGAATACTTGTGAAGCACATCCCCACCAAATTTTATGGTCATTAGATCTATACATTGAAAGATATAAAAATTTTTATTAGAGTGTACAAAACCTGTCAACAAGTGACAAGCATTGGACATACGAAGAGTCATTTTGATTGAAACGCTATCAAGTTGAAAACATGTTGTATAAGTGTTTGAAACGCTATGGATGATGTGTGCAATCTAGGCATGGGAGATATCCAAGATCCTTGTAAATATAAATAAGCCCTTGTTTGGTTCGTACTTCAAAATTTTACACCCTATCACATCGAATGTTTAGACACATACATGGAGTATTAAATATAGACTAAAAAATGACTAATTTGGGAGATGAATCTTTTAAGCCTAATTAGTCCATAATTTAACAATAAAAGTACTACAGTGATAGGAAAAGGTGCCCTACCGCGCGTTGGGACAGGTGCGGTACAGTGCAAAAGCAGGGGCAGTGAGTAGCCCTGTTCATTGGTTTAACAAATCCGGTTGCCGGCGGGTACCCACGCTCGGTGGAACCGTCAACGCGGTTACGACAGGTTGGGTCGAACCCGTTCTGAAAGCAATGAAAACACGAACATGCTACCTGGTTTGTGGGTTCAGCATGCCAAACACGTCGAAACCTGTGTGTCAATAAAACAACTGTGGAAACCCGTATTGTAAGAAGAAACCAATAGAAAAAAAGGGGGGGGGAAGAAGAGAAAGGATCGGCGGTGGCAGTGAAGATGGCGAGCGAGTGTGGTGGTGGCATCGACGGGGCCTTGAACTAGGCTGAGGTGACATCAGACATGTAAGCGTGCCTTTGGTTTAGGGACAACGTGGAATGAGTCGGACCTATCCCAGCTTTAAAGGTTGGGTGAACCCATCTCAGTTTAGTTTGAGGAATGGAGCTATTCTAATTTTTTTTGGTTCGGTAGGAGGGATAGAGTGGGTTGAGATAGCGCTAGCTGCTACGGTTCATGGGCCCATAATGTCAGCCACTGATCCATCTTCCACCTCTCATCGTTGAGCTGCGCTACTCTGGCCCTTGCCCTCCCGCACTGCCGCCCAACGCCACCGCACGCGCTGGAGCTTGCCCCCGATGGACCAGCTCGCCCTGTCCCACGCCCCCGACAGCCCATGGCCGGGGCTCCATCTCGCCCCCGCGTCGTTGAGGGTGGGCTGGAGCTTGCCCGTGCCGCCATGGCCGGGGCTCGAGCTCGCCCATGCCGCCAGGCTGCTCTGCGCATCCAGGGGGAGAAGGAGAAGCCCCGGCGGTCCGCGCATCCAGAGGAAGGAGAAGGAGAAGCCCCGGCTAGCCGCGTTGCGCCACCCCACGCAGGCCCTGCTGCGCCGCCTCGCCCCACGCGCGGTCTGCTCGATTTGGAGGTACCAGGCTGACCCGCATCTCAAGCGCATATTCTCATCAGGTCTGGCCCAGTTCAATCCGATTTCAAACCAAACGTTCCTAAAACTAGATTAAACCCATTTCAACCCAGTCCGCCCCACTGTCCAAACACACGGCAAGAGAGTGACATGAGGGGAGGGATGTGGTGCCTCGTTGTGTAATGAAAGTGACGTGGGGGAGGGATGTCAGAGAAATGTGAGTGGGTTTGCTGCAGCTGTACAACTCCCATGCGAAATGGTCCCTGTTGCCCGAAAAGACCAAACAAGATGCACCACAGTCCTGACCAAAATGGTACACCACACTCGTAGTATATTGCCGTTACTAATGCTACGGTGGCCTTTAAAAAAAATAAATCATAAAACTAAAATAATTATAAAACTAAAAAGTAAATTGACTGAGGAAAGAAACCCAAATTCACTGTCTGCAGAGATCGGTCATTTCTCAATCAGAAAAAATAGACAAGCCCATACAACGCTACTGAGAATCAGGGTTGGAGTTGACAATGTCGCTAACAGTTAGGCTGCCACATTACAATCAAACGGTTACTGAATTCTTTTTCAGCCGTTCAGTACTTCAGTAGAAAGGAAATAGCTAGAACAACCAACAACTAATTTTCCTGATCACCTCGTCGTCACGGACTCATGCATGATGTAGCCAATCGTCGTGACCTTGGCGTCGAGGGTGCTCTTGGCCTCCTGCACCTCAACTTCTTTGGCTGCCAACCTCTTCTTAGTTTCATCTGTGCTCTCCATGAGCTTCTTCGCTTCCTCTGCTTGCTTGCTCTGCAAAGAAACACGCCACATTCAGTCTCCAGTGGAATCATCTCCAGTGGAGGATGCCCTACATTCATATGTTTGGAATGGTGAAGCAATCATCTCCAGTGGAGCATGCCCTCAATCACACATTACATATTTCTTTGAACCTACTGCATTCTAGTGTAGGTGATGTATAGCATGATGTAAAATCATCACAAATCTAAATTGAGCACCTAAAACCTATTGGATTGGACAACAATCGGTAAGAGTATATAGATTGTCTGATTCAATTTTCGGCACTATTTGCCTCCAGTAAGGACTAAACTCAAATACAATTTTACACAACTAGTAACAAACACATTAGAACACTGGTCAGTACTCAGTACCTCTCTCGGAAGCTCCTCATCGACTCTGTGGCCATTGGCCGCCTCCAAATCCAGCTTCGCAGTCGCTTCATCTAACAACATCATCCAATAATGTACTATCGTGGCAGTTTACACCTGCTACCTGGAGACTGAAACTACATTCCATAATGTACTAAAATCTCACATATTTGAAAATTATCTTTAGAGTATTTTGTCACGTGAATAAATTATTGAAGTTTTGCACCCCGAGCATGATACAGCAAACCTAAAAAAACGCTTGATTATTCTGAAAATTATAAAAATACCATATAAAAAATAGCACCGATAATCATAAAATTTTCTCTAAAAGCTTTATGCACGGAGATCTAGATGTATGGGATCATATGAGCGACCTGCTTGTGCAGTAGATCCAGATGTATGGGATCATATGAACTTAGTGCTTTCATACTGAAAACGTCTTCTATTGCCTTGTGAGACTTGTCCATCATTTCTTTCAAACGTTCTTCGGAGGTATGATAATTATGACATAACGAAGCAATAAGTTTCACGCCTTTCTCAATTTATTTGACTGAATTCAAGAAAGCAAAAAAAAAAAAAAACGTAACTATGTGCCATATGCCGAATGAATAAATAGAATCAGAAGGAACAATTACTTAAGTGAGAATGGCCTTCAATCGTGAAGCTCCTAAATTTAGCTGGCACGTGAATCAAAAGTATGGCCTGCATTGAAGTAAGCAGTTTTATAATCAATTGAAAATACAAGTAGCAGCTCACAGCACTAAAGAAGTCAGTTGAAAAATCCATAATGAAACAAAAGGAAGGCGAAATAAGCAAACTGACCAATACAACAACTAATCCATTGGTCCAGGAGACCAGGACACCAGGTCCTTGAACAATTCTGGTGATCTCGAACGGGGCATTAAGAAGAGATGCCACCCAAAATATAGTCAGGAGTATTAGTCGATGATTGAGGCTCCTACTCAGTGGTTACACCTGAGAACAGTTCATTATATGCTTTGCTGTAGAACCTGGCATTTCATGAGCACGTTGGTAAGAGTTATAGTACCATATGAAATTATGAACGAACAGACAAACTAAACAGTTACGGATTATATATCACTATATTAGTAGCTGCAATTAGTAACACACCGATAGAAATTATGAGCATGACATATGACAAGACAAAATTACCAGCAATTTTGGTATTATTAAACTCGCAGAAGGTGCATAGCGACATTCCTACATCAAGCAGTGGATTTACCAAACTCTCCAATGGCTTCAGCTGGATTCGCAAGTTCAGGTGCAGAAACAAAAACAAGTTAGTTCCTCCCTAACCCTCCATCTGTACAGAGCAAACCAACAAACCAAGACCAACTGCAGGGCAGATCCGATAACTTTTGCAGAAAAAATGAATACATGTGCACGCTTGTAATTAGATCAGATCCAAGTACACCAAATAGCTTAAGTTAGGGTTTGGGTCCTCGGCATCGCACAACTGGGAGAGCAGAGAAGGGGTGGGAATACCCGTTGGGTGCTCATCACTAGCATACCTGTTGCGACACGCCGCAACCTCCTTCGTCCGCTCGCGTGCTCGATGCGGGAGGTGTCGACGGCGGCACATCCGACGTGCGCGGTGGGGAACCACTGGAAAGGAGCGCCCCCAGCCGCGGGTCCCCCGCTCCGCCTGTTCCTCCTCCACCCTGGTGCAGCAACAGCGCCAGCGGCCGCCGATTGAGGGTGCGGCTGGGCCCATTAGGGGTTGGGGATCTCCACGGAAAAGATGCGCTCCATGCCGCCGCCGCCGCCGCCCCGCAGTCAGCGCCCGATGGCCTGGCAACCGGCGATCGGCGATCGGTGTGGGGAGAGGAGTGCGCGTGGGGAGGATCGCGCCTGGGTTGGTCGGCGGCGTCCAGCGTTTGCTTTTTTTTTATTCCGTGTTTCCAGACTCCGAACCGTGCTCGCGTGGGGAGAGTTTGAAGCCGCGCGCGCGTGATGAGGCGGAGGGCCGCTGCGTTTGAAGCCTGCCATCAAACTTCTTCCGTCAGCCGATTTGGTTTGGGTGTTATATTAGCTTTTAATTTTAATAGAGATGATTTTTTTATATTTTTCTAGATGTACAGTAGTTAGAGTCTCTCAGCGGGAGACGTTTTTCTGGATGGACATAGTATAATTTAGATTAATGTAGAGATACTTACCACGACCTGAAAAAATAATTCCTCCCGTTCACTGATCCATGTGTTATGGAGGCAGGAGTTATGACATATATTTGACGTCGATCCCTTTACTTGATCGAAGCGAATCAATTGTATTTGCTGGAACGACGAGATACCATGTTTCCGTTTTCTGAATTGAGCAAACATGCTGTTTTTCACCGGTTGGATTGGCAAAAGCGATTGTGTATACTTTTTTTAAGTGCCGTACTAAAATGTATTACAAATTACAAATTCAGCATTCTTCACTGTTTTACCTCCTAAGGTTGTATATAAAATCATATAAACCCCAGGTTCCGTGGGTGAACTATCAACAGGACTTCAGTTATGTTGACGATAAAGAATATCACCGTAAGCTCACAAAAACTGCACATGCTTGCCTCTTGAAGTTTGCATCTACATGTTGAAACAACACAAAAAAAGAAAACGGGTCGAAGCCGGCATTCCTCGACCTGCGAACATTGTTCCCACCTTCCCGTTCTGGAAAAGAGGGCCGGCTTTCTCAACCTGAGGACATTGTTCCCGTTCTGGAAATGAGGGGAAAATCTTCCCCGCCTATAAAACATTTCACAAGTACCACCCCACGTTTCTTATCCAGCTCCTTGGCCCCATGGACCAAGGAACATTGTGACTGTTGGACTGCAGGGGGGACATACACGACATGAGCACCAAATATAGGGGAAATAGGGAATTAAAAATTCAGACGTCTGTGCATGAATTAGACAACCAGATCTGAAGAGAAAATAAGACTTATTGAAAGAGCTGTAACCCTCAAGTAAGAAACAGTCTATTGTACACTCTAATTGTTGAAAATCAAAACCGTCTGTACCTAGGTCTGCACGCACCCCGGCTTTCGCCCTATTCACTTGGGCATATAAGCCGTACTTTTTTAGTCAACGAACAATATTTTTTCACAACAAATCAGCCAACAGTACTGTCACACCCAATTTTAAGGATAAAATATGATACAAAATCTTATGTGCGCCCAGAGATCAGTCACACACATAAGCCGATAAATTATAAATAGTATCATCACAAGTGTTTATTACATCACGAAATAGACAGTCTTCACATGAATATAGCGAAAGTATAAAGAAAAAATCTCTCACGGAACTCCATATCACAGCAACGTCAACTGGTTGACCACAAGTCTAGTAATCCCCAGGAAAATCATCATTACCATAGTCATCTGTGACCCATCCGAGATTTTTATCCAAATAATAAAAATAAACAAGCGTAAGTACGTGTCGTACTCAACAAGTGTAACATCGGGTTCATGAGGCTCAAAAGGCTTCACACATTTAACAGCATTCAGTTTTTAGTTGTCACAATTTTAGTTTAAGAATAGCAACAAGTTGTTTCAATTCCCAATACAAAACACATGATCAATGTAAACATGAATAATGAATAGTATAAACAGACAATTCTTAGTGTTCATCTATTCCATAAGGGTTCCAAGGCCACTCGTGACCGTGAACATGGCTGATATACCAGTTTTATACTCTGCAGAGGTTGTACACTCTTTGTGAGTCGTGATACCTATATACCCGGGTTAATTACTCCCAAAACACTATCAATGTGAGCAGGCAGTGGTCACTATGAAGCCTTTCAAAGGTTCGTCTAACAAGTTAGGACCATTAGATTCACTCGGCAAACAGATGTAGAGCCCCCCCTTCCCGATGGCACATTGACGCGCAGCCTATACACATGAGGACAGAGGCCGCACTATACCTGATTTGTCAAGCCATTCTTACTCCAATGAAGATAACCACTAACAAGGTAGAAAATGTCCTCATACTGAGCTAAAGCCAGAGACATGTAGCCTTCACAGCTGTACTGTAAATCCTGGATGATCACTTACAGATAAGTCCTTAGGGAGAGAAATCTGAAGCATTTAGAAAATAGCTAAACACTCTAACCCCTGTTTCCAAGTTGCTAAAAAGTCATATTTTAATGTTTATTGCATATACCATTAATCAAGTTACAAGATCATGGTTTAATTGAGCACTAGCAAAACTACCCAATGCATATCCCGTAGGTGATAAGGTATAAATTCAATTCTAGTGAATCCCTATCAAGACGACACTTGCAACATGAATTTAATGTATTAAAGTAAATAGAAAATAAGGATGATCACATGCTATACTTGCCTTGAGCAAAGTACTCCTGCTAATCCTGCTCGTCAAAGTAATATCCTTGATCTCCCACGAATTGCTCACCGTCTATACCCGATAATCACAGCAATATACAAGCATCCAGAAGCAATCATGCATAGCAAACAAAAGATATAGATTAGAACAGTACATCAACAACATAAAATCAAGATGAAAAGTTTGAAAAACGAATCTACGTCTCGCTACGAACACACAGGCGCGAAGATCACAAAAATCAAAGCTAAAACAAAGAAGTTATGGATTAAACAAGTTTTTTTTAGTAAAATAATAGATTAAATCTAACCTCGAATTTTAAAAGTTGAAAACATGCTTCAACAGTAGTATGAACATGTATATTACTTAATTACAAACCTAACGCAAGTTGAACGGATTAAATCGGAGTTAAAACGGAGATTTTATGACAAACAAATCTAGTGACAAAACTGTAAATAGCTGAAAACGTATTTGTAATTTAACCGAACCAAAGTACGCTTTCAGAAGAAGACGACGAAATCTAGAAAAGACGCTTTGGACCGTGGGTTAAGACTTAGATAATTATAAGGGGGTTTTGCAAAAACGCCAGCGAAGGGGTATCGGCCATCCACGGCCGTTGAATCTGAGATGGGCGGTGGAGATTAGATCGGGTGGATGAGAGGGAGTATGGCTGGCCAGAATAGGGCCGGCAGCGAGGTATCCGTGGCGGCGCCATGGATGGGCTCACCGGAGAAGATGGTTAAGAGCCTACGGTGCTCGGTTTTCCAAACGGAAAAGTCCGAGAGAGAGAGAGGAGAGGGTGGGGAACTCACCGGAACCGAAAAGAACGAACAGGAAACAACGGAGGGCGGCGCGGCGCTCGGCGAAACGGCGACGGCTCTCAAGCCCGCGACGGTGCTAGGGTTGGCTGCCTCGGGCTCGAGCAGGGGCGGCGCTTGCTCTGGGGTTTGGATAGGGAGGCACGGGCATCCGATATTTAAGGCCCTGGAGCCTTGGGAGGCACGGCAAGCGCCTTGGGAGGCACGGCAAGCGGAGGGAGATGGGGGCGGTGCGGACTCGGACGGCGGCGGTGCGGTGGTGTCCGAGGTGGACACGGGCAGTGGAGGGGAGGCCTGACAGGTGGGCCAGTATGATCGTGAGAGGAAGGAAAGAAGAACGCTGGCAGCATGGGCGTCGAGGCTAAGGGCCAGGGCTGTATTTGTTGGGCCGTCTTGATCTTGGGCGCAGGAGGGAGAAGTGGTCGGTCACACTGAAGCGGGCCGAGGAGATGGGGCAACATGGGACGGAAGCAGACCCAAGCGAGGAAAGAGAGGCAGGCCGACTAGGCCGAAAGCAGGGAAAGGAGAAGGGAGGAAGAGAAATCCATTTTTCCTTTTTCTAATTTTTCCAAAGCAAATCTCAAATGCAAATTCAAAACAATTTGAAGTTTGATTTTAAATCACACCACTAAAAATTATTATGCAGCAGCATGAATGCACATACATGATTGTGACCTTATATTTGATTTTATTTTTAATAAAATTATTATTTTCCTAAATTCAAATGCCCACAAAAATGCATAATAAATCAATTTCTCCTATTTCAAAATTATTACAAATTTTAGGATGTTACAATTACTTTCAGCCATGGCTTATCAGCCAATCGAGCAGAGCATTTATCCATGTCAAACTGAAGAGCAGCTTTTTACATATACCCTCGCTTTATCCGTGTATTTGTGTCATGATAAGCATGGCAATATGCCATGGGTTTAGTTAGCAACTACAAACAATTAAATTATACTGGCGAAAATGCATGCAATAAAATACTAGGGCAGTTTAAAACCTAGGGTGTTGATTAAATTGTTTAGACAGCTCATTGAAGGACTCTAGCCCAAGTGGTTAGGGAATTCCGGAGGCACCCCTTAGGTCCTGAGTTCGACTCCCCCGTGGGAGCGAATTTCAGGTTGAGGATAAAAATCCGCTCGCCCGTCTCCCATAAGCCAAAGCGCAGAACAGCCAGGCCCGGTTCTCGCAGGGATCTTGCAGGGCAACAGATTCCGCTACGTCAGGATGGGGGGGGGTGTCGGGTTTTTCTCGATTTATGTGAGAAGATCATCCTTCTAATAAAATGCCTGGGGGCTGTCATACCCCACGCAGGTCGAGTTTTTGTTAAATGGTTTGGTGGTCCAAGCTCAAGCCTCCAGGGTTCAAACAGACAAACCGAAGAGCTCATCGAACAAAACATGAGATGTTCTAATTTCACAGGATAGTAACTTGCTACAAGCAAAACAGTGCACACAACTTGGATTTTTGGGCACACACAGAAAACTTACAACTAGGATGGCTTTTTCTTCTGCCCAATTTTTGAAAACCGTTTTAGATCTTGGGTACCTTTCCTCATTTCCCTGCACAGCAAAATATGAGAGGCCTGGAAATGCTCAACACAAAAGAAATGTTATTATCACCAAGTAGATAGAGCAAACCTTTGGTGCAGGAACACAATGAGATAGAACAGGGGCAAAAGTATCAGGGTCAAGATGCAGAGAGCCAAGTAAAACCTGTTTGTTTGTTTCTGCATAAAGGGGCAGACAATAACAATAAGATGAAGAGGTCCCTTCAGAACTCTATCAAGATATCAGTATTCCCAGGATATTTTTCCTGAACCATTAATAAATATAGATATAAGAAGATTTATGAAGCTTAGTTCAATTGATAATGATTATTTTATTGAGCATCCATATCTGTGTACACCTATTTGTATTGCACTGGCTTTAACTTAAAGCAGACATTTTTATATGTGAAAATCTAGGATTGCAAAATTAGTAAGGCGTATTGAATTCTTTAACAAGGCTTTTAGGAACATGCTAAAATGAAAGGCAGTGCATTATCCAGAAACTAAAAGCCTAGCCAGAAAAGGAACCAAATGATACCATCTCACTATATATGCTATCTACTGCTTATAAAGGTGGCATCTATCAGGTGTAGCTTCATTGGTTAACGCAAAGCTCAATAACCTGAACTAAGGTAAGCATTTGAGCATAAAGTGTAAGATTTCCTGGAAGAATTTTGCTCACCCTGCCACCTTTGGGGAAAGGTTTAGTTCCCTTATTGCAAGTGTGAGCATCACAAAATTGGCGCAAGAAGAATTCTGCAAAACAAACTACATCAGAAAAGTTCTACAAAACCAGCTGCGTCCAAAAATATATGCAGTGCTAGCTGCATTGGAAACAGGCGTACATCAACAAGGCAAATGTGAGTGAATGATCATTACATTCACATTCCACCTACCATGAAGACGGCTGGCAGCAAGACCTTGATTAACAGGAAAGCAACTGTCTGCAAGGCTCTGTCAGTAAAAGGAGGGAGTTGAACGTTGCTATCATACAAACACATGTAGAAGGTAGCTAGATAGCATATTTATTGTTTGCCATATCACACAAAGTATAAGACAAAACTAGCAAAAGCCATGGGAATGTATTTTCCCGCAATTCTTCAATATTGATTCAAGACAATCGCAGTTATGCTAATATCCAAGAGGCTGGCCAGAGCATGTCAGTTGATTCAGAGCTAGAAGACAAACACGTAACCTTCACATGGTTTCATCTAATTAAATAATTAACCACACCAGTGGCAGTGTGCCTGCATGTATGAACTGATGCTGCTTCTCAGTATCACAAAGCAAAAACAGTGGATTTAAACAAGGGTAGAATATGTGGAGCCATGTCTAATGAAGCCCTAAATATGTAGAATACCATATGGAAAACCAAAACATTACACAAACAGCACAAGCTAAAAATGCACAATCAAGTTATCAGAATAAGATAGGTTTCTTGCACGTTATCAGAATAGCAGAAAACCAACCAACCAAACAAATTTATATCAGATACAAAATAAAAAAAAATCATAAGAACCTCACAAAGATGACGATTCCTTGTAGCTGCAGCTGCATTGCATTTACTTTTTGGTTTCTTGAACTGCATCATCAGATCGCAGTGAAGTGCTCCGCATAGATCTGCCATGCATCTTCCTTCGCTCTAAAAAAATAGATCAAAATCTATTATTTTTGGGATGGTAAATGACTTTTTAATTAAGAGAAAATACAGCCACCAACCCACCTCATGGTAAAAAACATAAAGTTGAATCAACCAGGATAAATAAAACAAGTTAACTCAGTACCTTCAAGTGCATAGCCAAGAAGGCTTATCAATATAAAAAGGTTCTTCCTATCTCTTCTCTTTTCCGGCTAGAAAGCAGATTACTTTAAATCAGTGAAAGTTTTGGATTATACATAACATCTCATTAGCTGGCTTTATCTGAAATCTGAAATTACTGACACTCAGCTAGATAGCTTGTATGTATCTTATAAAACTGCTGCCCAAGAATGAAAGTTACGATTTGCATTTGTCGAATGGTGTCCATGAAAAAAAATTGCCAGACCATCAAGCAATGTTTTTTTTCTCGAACACACAGAAGAGATGTGTATCATTATATTAAGAATAAAGGGGTTTAAAACCCGTAAGCCCAACACTCACAGCTTTACATAAAACACACATGCGCCTTTGGAATAAAAAAAACACATGACGGAACACACACGCACCATCAAGGATATGTTGAAAACTTTAGTCCAAATTAGAGCGAAAAAAGAGCTGTCCAGTAATCCTCACATGGGTTCTTTTTTGAGTGCCAAGCTGAAAACAAGACCTTATTTTAAACTCAAGGGTATACACAATGCAAGCATTAATTGTCAAATTTGTCACCAAGTTGAAAGTAGTTTTAATTTGTTCTTTCACTATTCACTTCACAAGATATATTTGCTAAAGTCGGCCTTGTTTTCACATCATGATATCAGTATCAAAGTTTATACCCTTCAGAGTGACACAATAGAAAGTCAAAATAAGAGACAGTTTTGGAGCTTTCATCATGCAATTTACAGTTGATTTGATTATGCTGATAAGAAATGAAATTAGTTCAGAGAAGTATCTACCATGGACACTTGGAAGCAAACAGTCCTACTTAGTTGTTACAGAGGATCATAATTGTTTATATCAGGATTAGATTGTCATACATTTGTGTATAACTGTAAGCTTTTATATTTTGTTTCGCCTCTGTTGTGTTGTAGCTTGTGAAAACAGCACAGACAATATCAAATTCCTGATAAGTAAACATATACTATAGAAATATAATCACTGTTATGTAAACATACATTATCCACAAGATTCTTGTGCCAATTTTCATAATGTTGATCAAGGAACTTCTCTGCTCGGAAAGCTTTCTTGCAAAAGCCACAATGCCACTCATTAATATCAAAATGAATCTTATGTTGCTCTTGCTCCCGAAACATGTCATTATCAGGACGAAGTCTACATTTGCTTGGGAGCTCATATTTCTCTTTTTCCACGAAGGGCATCAAATACTGCATAAGAAATGAGGGTCAACATGTAACAATGTTACGGATGCAGCAACGCAGATAGAACTGTTAGGTTGCATGTGCTACCTCATCAATAGCTTCCCAAGCTGCACGGCTCCTTTCCCTTGAGCAATGCACCTCATGTGAATCTGGATTTGTTTGAAGAAGAATTCTGGAATCAAGTGAAATATCAGAGGACAATAGTCCATGTATCAAATTCTACATACATAGAAATCTAAATTGTATTTCTCAATCGAGTAATTCCATCTTTATTTTCATAATTTCATTACGGCTACAAGGAATGAGCTACTTTAGGATAATGCTGGTGTGAACCTTACTTATAAATTGTAATGGTCCACACAGAACAAAATCATTTTATTTTAGGTGGAACACACAGAAAACAACAATACACAAAAAAATTCCATGTGCAGTTTGTGTCTTTGAATACATTACCTGGATCCAACAGCTTCATGGAATTCCTAAAGCATAAAAAAGAACAGTTTCTGCATTAGCCAGAATAAGTACGATGCATCAAAGAGAACAGTGGAGAAAAGGCAACAGTAAAAAGTGCATATCATATTTGGTCCCCGTATGAGTGAGGATCCTGTTGGGGACACCCCCCCTTTTTCATTCTCTATAATACAATGAAACGCAGCTCTCCTGCGTTTTCAAAAAAAAAAGTGCATATCAGTTGTACTAGTACAATGTTCTTTTAGGAAGAACCCATTGTAAGCATTATCCGTCTTAATTCCTGTATCACCATAAAACAATAATTGCTCATGTGGCGATACAAAGGCAAGTGATCTGGGACACAGCAGTGATTTTCTGACATTTCTTAGCAGTACCATAAGTACTAAGTTTCAAGGAATGAATCAAAGTTGCATGAAATGCGAGTGTTTGGCAGGGATTCGGTTTCTCAGAGAAACTGGTTCTGTTTCTCAGGAAAACAGCTTCCGTTTGGTAGGGATTCTGCTATTTCTGGAGAGAAACTGTTTTGAGAATCCCTACCAAACGCACCCTAAGGCCCTGTTTGGAAGCCCAGTATTTGGGCCAAAACCCCTGTAAATTACAGGCCTGTGAATTTTTCCATCCCGAATCAGAAATGGCTGCTTGGAAGCCCGGTGAAGCGAATAATTTTACGTCTGGTTTGGGCTAAAACCAGCGGAAAAAAACTGTGGCCACCTTCGGCCCGAGAAAAAATACGACATCTATCGGGGAGCAACTCGATCTCCCTCCACTGGCTAGACCCGACAGAGCCGAGCAAGGGTTCCTCGCAGCGGCGGCGGCGGCGACCCCAACCTAAGGGCGGTGAGAAGGCAGGTTCAACTCAATCTCCCTTCGCTGGCTAGACCCGACGGAGCCGAGGGTACCTCGCGGCGACGGCGGCAGCGGCAGCGGCAGCGCAGCGGCGACGGTGGCGGCAGCGGCCCCGAGCTGTGGGTAGCGAGAAGGCATCGACGCGAGAGCGAGCGAATCCACGTCCTCGACGCGCGAATCCTGGAGCCCTAGAGCCCAGAGACAGAAATCAAATCCATTCAGGTACCCTCTACTCACGTTCTTGTATCCTTATCTCCTTGTATTTTTGTTCTTCATTTTTCTGCAATTGTTCTTCTAGCACATCGATAGATCTAGTATGTCCATGTCGATCTTCTACTTGTCCATTGAGATCCTGGTGGCGGCACCAACTTCCTCGTATTGTCCTTGGGATGGAGAGGATTTCTTTGTTTCATGCGTCCTCTACCGATGTGTGATATTAGGCTCAGCTAGCTGTTCTTGCGTCCTCTACCTAGATGTGTGCTATTAGGTTCAGCTGGCTGTCACCAATTTCAGGTTTGAATCCAAGCCACCATTTCATAGGTGCTTTTAACATTTTACTAGCTTTCTGCACATTCCAATTCCTTGCTCGAAGAAATCTCTATAACTGAGCATCTGAAAGGAAATCTTGAATGGCTGCTGATGAGTGTTCACCAAGGTGCAGGTTCATTTGCTTCTACAGAGAGGGACATCCAGGGTTAATTACTCCTATCAACATATATACATGCATGTGATGCCATCGGTCATCCTCTTTAATTTCCCAAAGTGAATCCATTGGCTCAGGACAAGAAATCGCAGCTGCATTCTTCAATTCCTAGCTAGCCAGCAGATTTTTTTTTTTTTTTTAAGGACGACCTAGCTTAGCCAATTTCTCTGTTTTGGGTCGATGACTGTCGTGTGCTGTGTCAAGTATCGGCAAACCGTTTCAATGGAATAACTTTATTAATTTATGCCATTAACCTTGCACGTTCATTTTCAGGATAACTTTGTATTTAGTCTCCACGTAACTGGCAGCTGAACCTTGTACAGTCATCATTTGCAGTTTTTGACACGAGTTCAATGGTACACTGACTGCTAATCAAGATATGTCTTCGGTTTACATATGTAGCAGTCTAATCAGTCTTATGTCTAATCAGTCTTATTCAATGCTGTAATGGAATCTCTCTGAAAATGCATATTTGTTTGTGTTTTTTTAACAATGCTGCACACTCATATTTATAACTCTGTGTTGCAGGTTAGTGGCTTCAAAAAAATTAGATCATATCTATCGAACACAAGTAAGTTTGCTTATACATCATTTTTTGGATGCATTGCAATATATCTGAAAGTAGTTATTTCATTCTATGCGAATTTAACAATGTATAGCTCTATTTTGCAGGTTAACAGATGCAAGTATGTCAAGAACGTGTAAAACTGAAGCATTTTTTTTATTTCAAGAGTACAATTGAATTGTTTACAAAGTTTAACTATGGTCATCTTATATTTCATCATAGGAGAAGTATTATCTATGCACTACTATTCTCTGATGTGTTAATTTGCTAGGACCATATAATAATCGAGACCTTCATTTTGATTTGAGGCTCCTATGTTTACTGTTCTATTGGTACTGCAAGTTCAGTTTCTTGGATAGTCTTGTTATGAAGTTCAAGTGCTATGGCATATTAGGTTACAGAATGGCATATATTCATGCCTTTGTTCTTGTGTTCCAGTGGATTCTTGCATTATCCATCTCTTGCCAAGTTGTGTTTATCGTTGGCAAGATCTGAACTTGTTGGTTCAGACTTGAACCAGCTGCAACTTGGTGAGATGCTATTTGGTCTGGAAGCAACATGTGCATGATGATTGATCTTCCAGGCAACATGTGCATTTCTGAACTGGTTGTGAAGTTTGCTCTTTGTTTGCGTCAATATCTGGAATGGTATAAGTTAGTAGGCCAGCAAACGTGAGAAGCCAGGTTGCCTGAAATGAATACCGTGCATCCAAACACTATTTTACAAGTGGATAATTATGGCATAGGTTCCTTGTGCACAATAATTTACAGGTGTAATTTACAGGTGTATGCTTTTTCCGAACATCCAAACAGGGACTAAGTATAATTTGCAGAAATTTCTGGACCAGTGATTGAAAGATAACCAATCTCATACTTTTCTTGTTAGTAAAATTCAGATAAGCTCAACCAGTTTTCAAATTGACAACAGACACACGATCCTTGTAAGAAAATGAACACTTCAGAGGGTAAACTAGGCATGAAAACTAGTCAGATAAGATTGCACAAGTCAAAACTGATAACATAGAGCCTCTAAACTCTGAAATTGTAAAGATAGTCTGGTATGCAGATACACCAGGATACTCGGAAGCCAGCAAATGTGCTCAAACACTAGCTGCAGCTGCTGAATAAGTGCAGCTGATCAGGCTGAGGATTCGTTCGACTACAGCCCACAAATCAGCTCAAGCTCAACTTCGCATATCCTTGCCTTACTGAATGTATCTAACCGATGCCAAGTTTAATCACCCCCGGGGAACATTAGCTTGTGCACTATTAACAACCGGAGAAGCATGAATTGCGCGCACAAATCTAGAATTCAGCAAGAGAAGCTCGGAGTATACTAGTACCTGGTCCTGATGGGATCCGTGGACGAGCTGAAGGGAGGAGACAGAGAGCAGTGCGAAGAGGAGAAGGGGCGCCAGGTGGCCAGCACAACAAAGCATCCTCGAAGTTCCCAGATCCCTTCGGCGCGTCGCTGGAGCTCAGCACGATGAGCTCCGGGTGACGGTAGGATAGAAAGCCGCGGCGCGGGACCGAAGCAGGGGGAGAGGAAGCAAAGGAGACACGCGCGCGGCGTTCGCTTTGGGCAGAGTCAGGGGCGGCGGGAACCCAGTCGCCGGAGCAGAGGTTCGTCAGCCGCCGGGACTTGCTTTGGCCTGCCGGAGAGGAGAAATTTCTATATTTGACCCTCAATTCGCGTGCACCTCCAAATTTGGCACTCAATTAGTAAGCCTTTCGAAATAGGACATTGCCAATTCTTTGAATACGAGGAATTCTTGCTTTTTCTCTTCCTTCTTAATTCCAATAAATCATGGACACTGTTTAGGGCACACGAAAAGACCTTTCTGCCCCCTCTCTCTCTCGAAAGAAGAGTTCCACTTGGTTTCTGTTCGGTCCGACTCGTAGAGGGGAGTCGTGGCCGCATGACTCACAACGGGAGCAGAGACACGGTCGAGCGCCGCCGCTCGGGGCTTGTCAAGTCCGCGTCTGTAACCTGCCACCGTCGGGCCAAAGACCATCGCTACAAAGACTAGCTCCACGCATCTCCAGCAGCCCGCCGTAGCCCTCACTGCATGAGCATTTTAAGCCTGTGGCAGTTGTGTCTGTCGAGGGGTGCTAGGTTTCTGTAACATCCCAGTGTTAAGCATTACATTTGGCAATGCATTTCATGAGCACAAGCATCATTCAAGCATTCATGAGCATGAGCATATAAAGTTTCATTTCATTTACCTTATCTTTTATCACATGTGATGTTACTCATATACTTAATTATGCTTGTGATCATATGTGACTAATACATGAGATGGTTGTGAGGTCACCAAAATACCTTAGACACATCTAGAATGATATTTGAAACAATGTTTATATTCATAACTTAAGCCAATTTTGCTTGTAAATGTTGGTTTACTTTGTAATATCATTTTCATGATGCTATTTTGACCAAAATTGAACAGTATCTTAGAGTGTTTGCATGGCTATGTGACCTAAATAAAAGTTGTAGTTCTTATCATGGGTAACAAACTTTATTTAAGGGTCATGAGCTGAATCAGTGCCTAACATGGTCAAAAACAGCTCCAAAGTAGCAACAAAATGTTGTTTTGTGACAATTTTTCTAAGTGTGGAATGCTAATTTCAGTTTCAAAGTACCTCACTTTAGAGTTTTATAGTTTGAAAACCATTGTGAATTAAACAAAACATCTTTAAGCATTTTTGTAGTGTTCACGTAGCTCTACAAATTTTATTAATGAATCTTGCACTGATTCGCCACGGATTAGGAGTACTAATCGCTTGAAGATGCGCTGTCAGTCGGGTTCAGGGTGGACTGAATCGGCGCCGCGTGCACGTGTCATGGCCGACCGGTGTCGGGCCGCGACCGCCGCATGGAGGCTATTTGCCGGCATCGGGCCCACGCGGGCAGCAAAGCGGCAGCGACGTGTCCTCCCTCCTCACTCACTCTGCCTCTCTCTCGCCCTCGCTGCGCCCGAGCGAAGCCACAGCGCGCGTCGCCATTGCCGCCGAGCTCACACGCCACTGCCACCGTGCCATTCTTCGATAGCTTGCGCACACAGCTCCACCACGCCTTAGTCCACCTTGCCAACCCTCTAGCATCACCGTTCAAGCCTAGGTATAGCCGCAGTTCAAGTTCATCGTCGCCACACCCTCGCTAAAGCACCGCCAAGCTTGCGCTCGCCGTGGTCGTGCTCCACCGAGCCATTTCGCTCATGTGTTCCTCTCGTTAGGGTTAGGTTAGAGCTACGTCTAACTCAAGGCAAGAGCCTAAGGCCAATGCCAGACTCATCGGAGCGGAACGCCACCGTGTCGCCATTGCGCTCGCGTGCGCCGTGCTGCCATGCACGCTGGCCAAGCCTTGCCGCCGCTCCACCTTGACCTAATCCGCGTCGTAGAGCTTCGCTAGGGTTCCTAGGTTCCATAGCAATGCTCGCCTAGGCTCACCATCGCTAGAGACGATGGGCTTGCCATAGCGCGCCGCCGCCGAGTTGCCATGCTCGCCGATGAGCTAACTCCGGTGATTCGCCGAGCCAACCAATACCAATGGGTGCTCACGGGTGTGGGGAACACAACGGTGGTGACCTTATCGCCGGTGACATCGCCAACGGCGAGTTCTCGTGTGGTCAAAGCCGGTGTTCTACTCGGATTTAGTGACATGTGGGGCCGAGTTGACTATGGGCCCCCGCTGTCAGCCACCGTGGGTGTATAGACCGGGTACACCTAGCTGTAGCTCCCGGTTGAAAATTTGATTTTCTTTATTTATTTTTCACAGATTTTGTTGCTAACTTGCAAAAATTATATCTCGAGCTAGGTGTATCCAAATGGGGTGAAACAAATTTTGTTGGATTCATCTTGAAGTGTACTA